TAGCAGCAGTGAGCCTTCGGACATGCTCGCCTATGTGGAGTGAGTCACCACAAGCTCAATCACCTAGAGAAGATAAGGAAAAAATAACGATGTAGCCTAAAAACGGGGACTTCATGTAATGAAGTAAAAAGCAGTAATTATGTAAAGCATACCTGGCTGTTGCTCTCGGAACTTTCAGTGATCCCGAAGAGGCAGGTAGCGAGGCAAAAGGCCAGTGCACGCGGGGAAATGCACGGCCTGACCCTTAAGGGTATTTGCCATGTCCTATTTCGGGTCTCCAAGGTCTGACACATCGTGCAGTTGGTTAAATCCGTATGTTTCCGCTGTGAAGTCCTAGTTTGGGACCCAGTTCAGCTTATTTTCCGCGTGACTGTTAGCCATCGAGCCAGCAACCGCATGTCACCGCGTGCTCTGGCCTTGTGCCTCACGCCCCCTCTCTTCGGGACCACTGAAAGTGCCGAGACAAACCCCCTTATGAGTTTTACAAAGTCCTTCGACGAGGGAAAGTACGCCCAACCTTTAAAAACCTTGACCGTCTTACACAATCAAAAATAAACGATTCCATTCAATTGATGGAACACCACAACTCCTTACAGAATCAGACTTTACATGATTACCGATTTCACTTCTTTACATGAAATCCCCATTTTAGGCAATATTCTTATCTTTGCTTGGTCTCTTTTTTATTGCTTCTCGTCAATGTGCTGGAGCTGCTGACTGAGCACTGGCCCTGGCTGTCAAGTGGTCTGCACAGAAGCAGCCAGCCGGTGCCCGCAGAGAGCCTGGGACACGGCATTTCCAACGCCTGCATATACGCTACCCAGTAAGTCTCTCAGCTCACGGTTCACTTCAATATTTACCCATTACACATTTGTAATCCTTTTGGTGTGCGTTAGCCCTTGGTGCTTTCCACTCAAGGCAGTTTTTTTGCTATGTGCTTGATGCCTTTCCTGCAGACGCGCTCGCAGTTCATTTCTTTTCATGGCACTAAGTTCTTATATTTGAGTTCATAGCGTAGGCCGTGTGGATATAAATGCTGTATTGATTAACATCTAGCGTAACAACAACGACTTACTAGCCACTATGTCTTCTAGATATCTGCGTCAGAACTTCGTCCAATCGCTTTACTGCCGCCCTCCGGCTCCACCGCCATAATCAACTGCTGGACCCACGGAGCGAATTTATCCATTTCGCCATCCTTATCCCACCGATTTCCCTACTGTTATTCGCATAGTCTTCCTTCCCCTGTTTACATTTTCACATTGCTCGTTTGTTTCTTCGAGAGTTGTTTTTTGTGCATTTCTATCAATAAACAACTTCTATCCTAAAACTAGCAACGTCATTCTGAATAATTTGTTGGGGCCGTTGTGGGTGCAGGGTAGAGAGTCTGGGAGATGGCACTTCCGAAGCCTGCAAATGTGCAGCTTATGTCACATGACGAAGCCGAGTGTGTCCAACGTTAGTCCTGCTCGCAATCGACCTAAGTTCTGCGCTAGGCCTGGCGGTGTCCGCAAAGACCGACCGAGATCATCCGCCATGTCCGAGACGAAGGCGTCTGCATCTAGGATGCTCGCGGGCAGAGAAAGCGGATACCTTTTAATTGCTGAATGTATCTCTAGGCTCTGGAACGTCTCCTTGCCGGACTCCAGACGATCACACAACTGATTGACATTCCAAAAATGCAGAAATATACGGATGCGCCTATTAGACTACATGTAAATACAGGGCAGCCAGATTTTGTACTGATTAAACTGTATGTGTGTGAATGGTTCAGACCAAAAACATGCCTTCTTGTTCGCAGTAAGTAGACAGGTATGCGAAAAATAGCCTAAGTGGGATCTAAAATAGGAGTCCACCGATGTGACTTACGGGATTGACCAGCTACGCGATGTTTTGAGCCCTGGAGGTCTGGCCTGGGACACGACAAATATCATCAAGGGTCAGTCCACGTATATGAAGAGCCTTTACGAGCTCGGCCAACCGCAGAGGTATCCCCTTGTTGATGAAAAAGAAGACATATTAAGGCAGGGTTAAACGGACCATGGTAAGTAAAATCTCATAAACTGCAATCACCATCCCTCTTCAGGACTACTTACGGGGTAATCCAGGGACTCTGCCTGTTGTGACAAACGGGGTCAATCCACCGACCCTAATGCGTCGGAGTGTAAGTGATAGAGAAGATAGGAATGTAACGTAAGACAGATTCTCTAACTGGTTTCCATTGTAGTTTACATTGATGTGGCAAGGTCTCAAAGACTTCAACAAATCTGACAAAGAGCTGCCGATATTCAAAAATCAGAATTAAGGAATGGCGTCCTAGAAGCTTGATGTAATGAACACAGTCACAAGTCATACGTGTATAGGATTATATGACCAAGTGAGACGAACCGACATTATCTCCTGTATACGGACTGTCAGTAAAAGTGCCTTCTCTGACGTTTCTTATCAACGAGTCAGACAACCAGGAAAATTATCTGCATGTTCGCAATCCACATGACCTCAGTCGTACTGGTGAACTTAAATTTGAGCAGACGGAGATAGAAAGAGGACATCATTATGAACAAACTTAAATTGGGGAAGGCCCTACAGGAAAATAACAGTGTTGAACTTGCACCCGGACACCGGTTGACTGATCTCATCTGTGCCGATTATGTCGCATTATTAGCTTCATGCTTTGGCGATGTATGCTATGGTGTCACTGCTGAACGAGATCGTGAAATTCGTCGGTTTTTCCATAAATGCTGGGAAGGCCAAAGTGTTTTCATGCTGCACCTCTCGAGATTGGTGGCTGTCAACGGGAAGATGAAGGCAGTTGCAAATCCCTCGGAGCGAGGTTGGTGCCGAATGGGCAGAATAAGGATGAAATTGTCTCCCAAATTGACGCAGCATGCTGAGTGTTCCCAAGCCTTCGGAAGTGCCTATGGACCCGATGCGATATTTCTATCTCCACAAATTTCCGCGTCTACCATTCATCTGTATGGTCTGTTTTTCTATACGGATGCGAATTTTGCTTTATGTGCGTGGAAGATGAACGGTAGTTGGAAGTCTCTGACCACTATTGCTTGAAGACTATCATTCGAGTGAAGAACACCGCCTTAGTCTCAAATGAGACAGTCCGCACTCGCTGTGACCACATCGCAAGGATATTCCAGGTGATCCCACAAAGATGAATGAGTTGGTTTGGACACGTTTTCCGCCGTCAACCTCACGATCTGAGTGTTACTGCCCTCGACCTGAAACCGTTACCTAATTGGAAATGTCAAAGTTGGCGTCAGCTAAACACCTAGCTCAACTTAGTCAGTCACGAAATAGAAGGAGTTGATGGACCTTCAGTATTCTGCCTCCGTCGCTGGCGAAGAGGATGTTTCGAACTTTACAGGGCTGCTGCCACGGACCTTTGCGCGTGGAGAAGCACCGTACGGGACGTGGGCTAGATCAGTCATGATCGCAACCGCAACAAATACAAGGACAAGAAAACTGAAAATGCAGTTACATGTGCATAGAAAATTAAAAAAGATAAGAAAAGGGTGCACCACTTACCGCTGGATGCTGGCG